TTTTAAGTAAAAAATTAGCAGGGGTCAAAAGAGACGCAGAATTTGTACTGATAACACACATTTCTAAGGTACATTTACTGATAATATACATTAAGGCACTAGGAAATCTGATTTTAAATCAAACTTCAAACATTCTTGTCCTTTGTGCCCTTGTTAAAGAAAAAATATACTGACCTAGATTAAATACCTCCCCAGGTGAAGTACCCAATTTTGGAATATAAACCCAGGTAAGTGGATAGCTCTTCCCCAGAAGACTTCCCATGTTTTCTGTCTCTGCAATTCTTGGAATTATGAAACCACAGGTGATGGATACCCTATGCCTTTATCCACAAGTAATTCCCTCTTCTCACCGTATCTCCAGTTCATTTCTTGCATCTATGTGAATTATTAAGGTCTGCACTGTCCTTCAGTTTAACAAGGGGTTACTTTTTGGTTTTGAACTCCTGATGAATTATTTTCTTTTCTAGTGCCTCGTATAAGAAACAGCAAGTGAGCACTGCTTGTTTGTGAATTCCTCCACTCAGGTTTTGTACACATCCATCACGGTCCTGCCCTGCAGTTACGCTGTGTTTTTTCTCTTTTGAAAGGGTTAACTCTGGAAATGCAAGCAGGGCAAACCCTCTTGGAGCACAGATACATGAACTGCATTGGCCTGGTCTAGGTTTACCTTTTTTGTTATAATTCAGTAGTACAACCCTCAGCTTCCTGGATTTGTCCAAAACCTCTGCGATGGAACTGTAATTTTAAGTTCATAAAATCCCAGACTGGTTTGGGTTGGAAGGGACCTTAAAGCTCATCCAGTTCCAACCCCCCTGCCAGCAGCAGGGACACCTTCCACTAGACCAGGTTGCTCAAAGTTGCCTATCTTTTGCCATTCAGGGATGGAGAATATATTAATTTCTGACTTCAATGAGTGAAGTCCTGGGATTTTCACCCACCTTGATTATGGAGTGACCAGCTGAGGCTGCTTCATCCATATTTCTTGCTCTTTTTGTAGATCCTCTTTGATGTCACGTATCTGCTGGGTTTGGAAATCAACGTTTTCAGTTGCCTTTGAATTCTGAGCACTATGGAATATTTTTTTTCTGTAGGTTTGAAACATTTGTTTCCAGTGATTTAAATGGAATGCAAAGTGTAATGAATATGTAACTGGAGGAAAAACAATTAAAAATTAAGAACTTCCCTTGTGTATAGTTTACATCTGTTTATTTTATAGCGAGCTTAATGTTAGTGCCGGGCCACTGAGTATCTTCAGATATTTTTGTGAACTCGGGATATAATAGCATATTTTCAGTGAAATTAAATGCACCCAAAGTACCTGTTAGCTTTAAAATCTGCTCTAGTATAGTCTGGTTAAATATTAATGCATAGACTTTTGCCATTGCACATTTTTGCCCATAATTTCTTTAATTTGATATTACGCGTTTTTGCATAATTTAAATATAGACATCTGGACAATTTACTTAGCCAGTGTAATGTTATGTTTTACTGAAAGTGTCTGCACACTGTATTCTCAGGACTGTGTGCCAGGAGCTAACTGTTCAATATTTAAATAAAAGAATTGAGGTTTTGCATTGGAAATTGTAACAGAAATTTAACTCCTCCAAGAGGTTCTGTTCACTAAAAGGGCAGTGTACCAATTATGTGTTGGGCTGCTAGCAGCCTATGTTGCACTCCACTGGTAGACTGGTCAAGGAATGTTAGAAATCTCTTTGGGCATTATTTTCTTTTTTAATTTAATTAAATCTGCTCTTAGTTAAGAAAGTAAACTTATATGACTCTATTTTTGTGTGTGCATTTAAGAAATACATTTAAAGAAATGCTATATATCTTAGAGGTGTTGTTCATCATGAGGGGTTTTATATGGTGAAGATTAACTTTATGGCTCAACTAAGTACTTTACAAATTATTTTGTTCCTAAGCTGCCAGAACATATCTTAGCCACAAGCTTGGAAATGCCTCCGTGTCAGTTGATACAGCAAACTTAATACATCGGTGCAGAAAGGATGAGATTTCACAATAGCTCTTACATCTCTCACAGAAGTGTTAATGAATTTATTATATGAGGATATTTCTAACTGCTGAGTCAGAGCTGAATTCAAAGAGACCATCATTTAAATATACAGTATAATACCCTTATTTTAACTTTGACTCAAGAAAGTGTTTTCTTAGGTACTGACTTGGAATTATTTTCTGAGTTTCTAGTCTTAAAAATGAGTCCATTTGATCTAGCAGCTCCTAAAAAAGAAAACCCTTGTTTTTCTTTTTTTCCCCCTCCCCACACCGTAGCAATTTATATTAACTGGAGTGCTCCTTGGTGGATAATACTTGGCTTCCTTTATTTTCCACAGTTTATGAACGCATCTTAAATACTGAGGGAGTATGTGTCCAATTTTCTGTTCAAGGATAATTCCAGCTAAGACACATGTGGTACATTCAGCTTTCTTAAACTGTAACTTGCGGTTTTAATAAATTTTCTGAATTAGTGGCTTTTTAATAGAAACAGTGACCTTTCCTGCTCTTGTCATTTGACTTATGGATTCACTGCTTCTTAAAATGTGTTGCACAAATGAAAGTGAATCAAGTAGTGGATTAAATCTAATAATTTCTCTACCTTATAATAACTTACAGACCTTCAGTTTATTTCAAGAGAGCTCTGTCCTTCTTTAGAAACATCCTTCCTTTGCCATCGAGCATGAAAGAGGGACAATTTGGCTACTTCTTTCTGGCCTTTTTCTTCTCTTTCTCTCCCTGTGGAAGAACAGAGTAATAAAGATCTATGGTTGATGAGGTTTCTGTGATTTTTTGGTTTGGGGCAAAAGGGCACAGGTTGGCATTTGGAGGCTTCCTAGCAGAAGCTTTTGAATCTGGAATTAAATTTTAATCCAAATTATTAAAGTTTAGGAGTTATTCCAGATACTTGCCTGATTAAGATTCAGAATTTTTAGTAAATCTTATCTGAAGACAAAAGCTAATTTACAGCAAATATTAAAGAAATAAAGTATTATAGTTAATCACAGCTAGTGTCTGCTCCATATATTATAATGCTTCCATCAACAGGGTGCATTCTGTGTGAATGGTAGTCATTTACAAAATAGGGTTTAAAAACTCAATTACTTTGTGTTCTTTACTTTTAGATCTGAATAAATAAGCAATATATCTATTTTAAATCAGAATTATACATCCTGTATGTCTGAATATAGTAAAAATATGTTAAATAGTAAAAGACTTTTTTTTTTTTCTCCTTTCTTCTTAATTATTTGTGAGATATTTTTCTTACTTAGTGATAATTTATTTGCCTCCTGGGATGTCTATTTTTTCCTCAGTCAGGGATGTTGGCAAATGCTTTGTTACGTGGAGGAAAAAAAATGTTCAACTCTTAATATTTTATCAGTTCCATTAGGCCGAAGGTGCCAGCGGTTGTGTAAACGGCTACCAGTCCCTCAGTGTTTCAAGTCTTCAACCTCGTCAGATGGGAACTTCATAAATTATGTATAACAGTAGATGCCACTCAATAAATATTTAATATGTGATAGATACTTTTGACTGAAATTACTTTTTCACTCGAACAATGATTTAAGCTGTATTTTTTTGGTTTATGAGGTGACACTTTTATAATATCAAGGGATAGCTGGGTGCATTTTGAATGTCAGATAGCTGCGAGGCAACATGAATCACATGAATCTTTCTTCCTGAATGCTGGAGAGCTCTCTAATCTGTCTATGACCAGAGAGGGAGTTCCCAGTTTTGTTTTTGAGTGTCTTTTGTACGTTGTATCATCATCTCATCTTACCCAGGTGATGAGTATTTTTACTTACCCATATTTTTTAAACTGTATCAATATTGATGATGTTTTGTACTGTGCAGGGAAATGAGATGTTGCATCTGTTTTCTTCTTTCAGATTTGTCAAGTTGCTCTCCTTGGGAAAATACATATAACAATTGATCTGTTTTTTCTTACAAACAGCGTACTGTCTTGGTTGGCACTGGAGAAGGCATTCTGATGACTTGGAAAAGGAGTAGTCATCCTGCTGTCAGAAAACCTATTTTCTGTGTTTGCTAGCGCCAGGAGAAAAGTGTGTGCCTTCTAATACACAGAAGTGATAGTTGCTGATGTTGCCTCTCCTTGCTGGGTTGTCAGTCCTCCTTGGCTCATAAGGGCTTAGCCATTTTACATAGAAAAACACATCCATTTTGAAAAGTGATGTGTGAACGTGTTCACAGTCTCTGTTGTTGTTTTCCAGGCCTAGGAGCCAATGGGGTTTTGTTTCAACTTGAAAAATAAATTTTATAAATACTAAAACTTATTTCAAAGCCTCAATTAATTTCTTATTAATTGCATAGACTGTCTGATCAGTACTACATCATATGATATTTTGTCCAAGGTTGAAGTCTCCCACTTGTAGTCCCGCTGAATGATGCTTCATCCTACAGGTGGCTGTACAGTGTTGTCCAAAGGAATTTTGAAGAACTGAAATTATGTGCTTCAAATATTTCTTAACATTTATTTACTATTGTCAGTGCTTACCTTACATTGGATAATGTTTTAACTGTTGAGGCTTACTGAATATTCAGATACCTGGGGTTTTTATTGTGCAAGGTTCAGTTTGTTTAAAGGATTGCCAAAGAGTTTTCAGTTTTCTATTCCTTAGCTGTACTGAATTCTGAGGAGTTTTAAATTCTTACCATTATGCAAGATGGTACATAGCTCGCTTTTAGACAACACTGCTTTGTTATGCTCTTGATTGATCTTCCTTATCTGGTATAATTCAGCTGTTTGTGTGGTTTCTTTCAAGTAACACCTTCACAGATTTCCTGAATGGCAAGCTTGGAATGCTCAATGGAAAAACAACAGGCACATTGAAAATGTAAAAAAAAACATTAAAAAACAAAACTCTTTTTTGTGATATTGCTGAGAGTAGGTTACATTAAAGATGATTTAGAAAGGAAAGAGCGATATATCTTGCATATCCTAATAAATAGACTTCTGTCCTTTACAGGAGCAAACCTTGGCTCTGAGGAAAGAAGGGATAGGTGTTGTGTTAGATTCTGAACTGCCTCATCTCATTGGCATTGATGACGATCTGCTCAGTACTGGTATCATCTTGTACCACTTGAAGGTAAACACACATCTGTGTTTCTTTAGCCTTTATATGCCTTGTGATTTTTTTCAGTAGAAAAAAGTAGAAAAATTGTAATATTAATTTGCTATCTAAATACAGTGCTCATTACATTTCTCCACCATAGTAAGAAAAACTCATTACCTGTCTCCACTATAGTAAGAAAAGCTTTTAAGAGGTTGCAACTGATTTAATTAAAATAACTGTTAATTTACTGTTTAGGTTTATCCTGAGGGCCGGCTGGTTAACTGGGGATAGGTGTTTAGTATTCCTATTTTGTGAATATTGTTTTTTTCATTCATCTCATTGTAAAGCTTGACTTGAAATCCAAATCTCGATTAACTGCCTCAAAACTACAAAGATGATTCTACACAGGACGGTTGAAACTTGAATTTGCTAATAATATTGTATAATAATGTCTGTGAAAGCATTCTAAAAATGCTACCTGTTTTTGGGTTTTTTTATGTATATTTAAGCATACGTTTTGTCCGGGTTACTCTGAGAAAGTGGAAGGATAACTTATATATTTGCAAGGGAGGAAGGGAGGTTTCAACTGAAAATAATGTGTGCTTCTGTCTTGATTAGGAGGGCCAAACATGTGTTGGCAGAGAAGATGCTGTGACAGAACAGGATATTGGTATGGAATTTGGAATTTTTTTACATTCTTTCTTCAGTTGTTTTTCCTTCTTCTAACATCCCAATAAGTGAACAAAGCTTCATATATTTTTCCCTTTTTCAGTTAGTTGTCTGTATGTTCTTGCATATTTTAATTTTTAGAAAATCTGAGAGCTGAATTACATGGGATTTGCTTCAGAAAGCGTGACTTCTAGAATAGCTTGTGGGTTTAAAATTTATTCGTATTCATATACTTGTTACTAATTTATTTCTTGCTTCTCTTGAAATAGCATCCTGTAAAAATACTGTCCTTTTTAATACAGCACCAGTCACAATTGCTGCACAGTCATTCTTATAACCTTTGTATAATGACAGTATTGTTATACCTAGAGCAGTTTTTGGACTTTAGATTTGAGTTGAAGAACTTTCTGGAAGTTGGTAAAAAGTAGGTAGGCAGATTCCACTGATTTTCTTACTCACTTCTTATCAAAGCAACTAACTGCCAGACCTGCACTGCCCTGTCACATACATTGCTTGATGGCAGTTTCATTAAATAAACTGCATCTTTTCATTCTCAGGTGAGAGACTGAGAGTCAAATAACTTAGTTTGATATATTTTTTGTGGGTCAAAAGATGCCTGGATTAAAAATTCTATATAAATTTCATGAAACTAGTGAACTTGCATTGCTTTGTGGTATTAAAACAGTACAGGTAGAGGTAATGATACATTAGTTGAAGAAGAGACAAAGTAGCATAACTGATTGATAAAAGGCCTGAATATAACAGAAGGTAAGAACCTTATTTCAGCCTGTCTTTTCAGATTTAAACATGGTTGCTTTAAGGTCAGGAAACTTTCATTATTTCCCAGAAACCAGTCAAAAAAACCTGGTCTCTACAATACTTTCCTGTTTGCTGTCAGAAGACGCATTTCCTAATCTGGTGCTAAAACACAGGAGGAAAGAGCACAATACCAAAAAAACTGAAGCAACCCAACACACTTCTCTTTCCACTACAATAAAACAAGAAGTAGCATTGACATTTAAGCCATGCAGGATGTAATGAAGGAAGAATACAGAAATAACAACAGAATAAAGAGAAAAGTTACTCTCAAATATGTAGTGCAATACGTCCTTAATAAATTAATATCAGCATGCTAATCTTACTAGTTGTTAAGAGACTAATTATTTTATTTCTTTTTATTTAGTTCTTCACGGCCTTGATTTGGAAAGTGAGCATTGCATCTTTGAAAATCTCAACGGCACCGTGAATCTAATACCACGGAATGGAGCGCAATGTTCTGTGAATGGTATTCAGATTACAGAGGCCACACACCTAAACCAAGGTATTACCCAGCATAATGTCATTTTTTTTATACAGCATCTTTGTTTCTTTCTGGCAATGTCACTGAAAAAAAATCTCTGTGTATATAAAGGAGTTATTATTTAATTAATTTAAATTCATGCCTTCTCAACTACAGCCCAAAACCATCAGGAGAAGCACAGAGTTTTTGTTCTGTCAAAGAATTGCCATGTGGTGAAAAGAGAATACTTTACTAATTTAAGACACTTCATAATCTTGAGTATGAATTGATAGTTACCCTTTGCTTTCATTAAACATTATACCTAGTGAACTCCATGCCAGATTGCTTAGGTTGCTATAATATTAAGAAAAAGAATATTGGTCTCTACAGGACTAAAATAATGTCAGAGATACTCCCTGCCCTCCCCAAGCTTCAGGCCGGTCCTGCTTGACACTTTGCTGCCAAATCCTCTTGTATAGCAGGAGATTCAGCAGG